TGTGCTTGGGGGTGGGAATGGGGCGGGGGGCGGCCCCCACCACTGCAGCCACCAAGCCCTCCTGGCAAGGCCTCTTCTGGGGACCTGGAAAGGACACGGACTTTGTGAACTCCGTGACGATGGAGGGCTGGGAAGGAACCACGTATGCACCTGGCCACACACACAGCGCCCACTGCCTGGGCCCACTGCCCTCACCAGCCCTGGGGCAGGCACCCGCTGCAGGCAGGCACCGCGTCCGTGTGAGTCCACAGAAGGCCACCCGTGGCACTGCCCAGTGCAGGGAACCACCTTACCCAGCCCCACCCCAGGACACTCACTCACTCCTCCTGCTAGTCACAGACTGCAGGGGAGGCAGAGGCGCACCTGCCAGACCTTTCTGCCTTCATCGGGGGCTCTGGCCAACAAGGAACCCAGGCTGCGCTCTGGCAGAAGCCAGAAGCAAAGCTCAACCTTGGCATCTGGGACCTGGAGAGCTAGACTCACACCTGCAGCAGTCGGCCTCCTCCTCTGGGGCTCCTTCTCTGGGGTGTGACCCAGGTTTCTGAGCCCTGAATTCTAAGGGAGCTGCGGTCTTGATGAGTGCGTGAGGGGATGGCAGGCCTTCCTCTGTCTTCCATGGGGGAGGCTGTGGCAGTGAGTACAGACCAGCCACCCAGAAGTTGCTAATTCTGAGAAGAGATGCCCCCTGGGCCCCAGGCCGGGCCACCCCACTGCTCCTTCTGGGCTCTGGTCTCGCAGAGGAGCCACCCTGGGGCACCAAGGTCACATCTGTCCCTGCTGCTGAGAAGCAGAGACCCCAGGCAGGAGCCACCTCAGCATAGCCAGAGGCACCAGTGCCCACCATGACGCAGGGTGGCAGGGACCCGGGGTCCTCCCCAGTGCCCGCCTGGCTCCACCCGAGGCAGCATCTCTTACTGCAGTGGCCCCTAGGTGGGCTCCCAGCACACGAACAGAGGCTGAACTCAGGATAGGCACTAGGGCAGCCGCGGCAGGGGGGCCCCCCGGGGGGGCCTAAGCCGGGGCGGGCCAGCCACGACATCACGAGTAGCAGACAAGCGGTGCAAGAGTGGTAACGGAGGCGTGACACCAGGGTCTGGGCAGCACGCATGCACGGGCCCAGTGCCGCGGAGCAACACGACAAAGGGCCTGGGGCGGTGTCCCATTTACCTTTTGGCTTTCAAAGGCGTCCCATTCTGTTGGCTGTCATAACGGGGAGAGGTCTCACCACCACCTGGCCTACCGGGCTTCTCCCCAAACCCTCCCGGCTCCAGCTTCCGGCTCTGTCTGTCGGCCAGGGGCCTCTGGCTGGAGAAGCTCCTCTTGGCCAGCTCCTTCTTCTCTCCTGCACTGGCCCCGGACAGGCCGCCGTCCCCCTGGGGGTCGGGCTCGGCACTGTGGCCTTCCCGCCGCTCCCGCCGCTCACTGATGCTCTCTGAGGCCGTCTCCCACTCCTCGTTGGCATGGTCAGAGGAGTGCTGGTAGGGCAGCTCGGGGGACCTGCGGCCCACAGCGCCGCTCTTGTCCCCTGGACAGAGTTTGGCCCTGCCTGGCCACTGCCCTGCCAGCAGGCGGGGCTCCTCCTCGGCCCCCCACAGGCCCAGGGACTCCCGCTCTTGCCGGAGGCGCCTGAAGCGGGGAGGCTTGTCCTGGCGCGGTGGGCGCCTTCTCCTGAAGGGCCGGTTCTCAGCGTTTTCAGCATCGGCCCCGTGGTCGTCTGGGAAGAAGGACCTCCTGTCCTCCATGCGGCTGTCCTCAAAGGCCCTGCCGCCAAACGACTCCGAGTGTCTGTAGGAGTCTGGGGCGCAGGCCCGGTCCGTGGGCCGCCGTGCCCCGCACGTGTCGGTCGGGCCGGACTCCTGCCAGGAGCTGCCCAGGCCCCTGCCCTGCCAGTGCGGTGACTCTTTGGAAACAAAGGCCCTCCGCCCATACCCACAATGGCTCAGCCGGGGAGGGAGGGCTCGCCCGAAGGCCCGAGGGCCTCGGCTCTTAGCGTCCAGTGCCCCGGGGTCCTCGGGGTACACCTTGCTGGACCGCCAGGAATCTCGGGCATCGCCCCTCTTCAGGGCGCTCTCCTCCCGCTCCAGGGCTGAGCCCTCGCTCCCGTCCTCGGAGCCCCGCTGCCGCCGCCGCTTGGGAAGCTCTTCATACTCCGAACCCTCGCTGTGGGTCTCGCTGGCGATCCTGCGCCGGGGCTTGGCTCGGGGCCCGTCTTCGGGCTGGGCGAAGTCTCGCAGCCCACGGCCTCGGCCGCTCCGCTGGCTGGGGCTGTAGATGCCACGCGCCCCCAGGACACCTGCACCACAGAGGCTGCTTGCACTGCTGCCAGCAGGTCGACCCCGGAAAGTGAATTCTCGGAAGCCCCGGCCTCGGCCCCGGGCCTGCCCTCGGCCCCCAAAGGCTTGCTCCTCGTCGATGAAGATCCAGTTATTTCTCTTCGTGGGTGGAGTGTCAATGGCCTCTCGGGAGGGTCTGCTCTCCCAGGCCTTGTCGGGCTTCTCGTCCTCTTCAAACCTGCTGGCCTCGTGGCCAGAGCTAGCCCGGGGAGGCGCTCTGTCCTCTGCTGCAGATGGGGTGGAGTTGGCCCGGGCGGGATCATTCTCCTCATCCTCGTCCTTCTCGGTCTTGCCACTGGGCTCCTTGTCCTGGGCACTGTCCTCCCCAAGCTCCTGCTTCATCTTCTCGAGCTCCTTCTCCTTCTCCTCAACCTTGAGGGCTTTGAGCACGGGTTTCTTGATGGGGCCCGACCTCCGGGTCCTGCCCGGCTGCTCCTGGGGCTGGCTGTTGGCATTTCGGGGCTCAGGGGTCCATTCAGGCTCTGAGGATGTCTGCCTACCGGGGCTCCCTTCCTTCTCCCAGGAGGGAACGCTGAAGGACGGCTCCTCCCTGGGTGCCTCCTGCTTGACGCTGCCGGCTGTGGCGGGCGGAGGCCACCGTCCCGGCTGCCATAGTCAGGCTTGTTCTCCGCTGGGACAAAGGCAGGCTCCAGTGGAGAACACCTGAGGCTTTGGGTGTGACTCGGGGGAGCACCGGCTTCCTGCACATTTTCCTGGGATGGAAACAAGAGTTCCTGGCCTAGGCTCTGGGCAGAGATACAGCTGTCAAAGTCTGCTTGGGCCTTCTTGTCAAAAGCACTCAAGTACTCCTCCCCTCTCTCCTCAAAGAGATCGCGCTGGGCACTTACGCCCCCTGACCTTCTGGGGGAGGCAGAGTAAGGGCTCTCATTCCTGAAAAGGAACCAGAAAAATCAGTCAATGTGATTGGAGCTTGGTTCCTGGTTTCCATGCTGAACACAGAGCTTAGTTTCAAAACAAAAAAAAAAAATGTTTTTTCAAAAGGAAGAAGAAAACATAAGCACCAACATTTGCTCTATCTTTAAACATGTCTCCAGCAGCTGGGCCATGGGGTGGTCGGTGGCCCTGGAGTCCGTGAGAGTGGAGAGTGCGGTGCTGCTGGGTGACCGCAGCTGGCCACCACGGAGACAGAGGGTCTGGGCAATCCTCGGGGTCACAGAGCAAGCTGGAGCCTGGGAGTCCATGAAGAGTCTGGGGCACTGGATGGCGGGACTGGCTGGGCACGGCTCCTCGGGAACGGGCCCAGACCCATGCCCTCCACCCCTCCTGCCCCACCAGGCCACCTCCCACACGCCCATGCCCAAGGTTCGGCGACCTGGGGGTTTCTCCATGGCCATCAGGCCTGCCATCGAGAGCCTCTCACACCAGCATCCAGATAATCCTTCACAGAGGGCACCAAGGGCCCCTCCAAGAAGACTCAGCTCGGCAGGGCAGTGTGTCCTGGGTGGCTCTTCCCGGGCCCTCTCACGTAGGGCCTGGGCGCTCCCGCAGTAGCAGGGCACGTCCCATCTTACCTGGCATGCATGTCCACAGCCAAGGGGTCACTCGACTTGGGGTGGGGGAGCGGGTAGCCCTTGTTCTGCAGCGCCGTGTAACTCTCTGGGCTCCACCCCGGGGCTGGGTCGATGGCGGTCGCTTTTCTTTCTTGGAGTGGGGGCACACAGTTCTGATCCTCAGAGGGCCAGCCAGTCCCACCGAGGGAATCTGGGGGCAGCATGGGTTTCATCAGCCCTGAAGACGGCAAAGAAGTGGTCTAGGTCATCACGCTCAGCAAACGTCACGAGGAGTTTCCTCTTCCTTGGGAGAGAGACTCCAGACACACGGTGTGTACCCCGACCCGCTCAGACCGGTGCGGCCACCTCAGTGCCCAGACTGAGAACCCCCGGGAGGAAGCGGAGTACAACTGCCAAGTGTAAACTGGAAATACTGAGTTACAGTTCCACTGGCGACGGCTGGGAGGCCACAGGTGTCCAAGTCAATTAGCAACAAGGACGTGTGTGCCTGCAGCAGGGCAGAGACCCGAGGGAGAGCGACAGGCCTGAGCGCCGACGCGGGACGGGGCCGCCTGCTCAGAGACCTGGAAAGCAGATTGAGAAAGCAATTCTGGTTTTATTTCTTTTCTTCTTCTTTTTTTTTTTAAGAGAGATTTTTGTGATAGGGCATATGCACTCATCAGAGAGAGAGAGAAATCACCCCCAGGGTGGATGGCCATACCACAATCCCTTCTCCTCCATTTTCCTCTTGGGATTTTGGGCATGCATACACATCCGCCCAGTGTGAGTTTTAAGGCACCAGGTCCGGGATTCGAACCAGAGTCGAGTACATGGGAGTCCAGAGACATAACCATTACACCATCTGCTGGTCCCAATTTCGGTTTTATTTCTAGCCCTAAAGTCGACAGCGACACTTCACATTTTTGTATGGGGAAACTGAGTGTGCGAGGGAGTGGGACACAAAACTAACGACAGCCCAACAGCTAGCCTGAGAAGGCGAGCACAGGAGGCAGCAGGGGAACCTGGGCACGCCGCGTGGTCAGGCTGGCCCAGGTGACAGGGACAGGCCGTCGGGCCTAGTCTGCGGAGAACAGGATCTCAGCTGTCAAACACTCCCTCTACGAAGCCCACAAGCCAAGTGTTGCCGTGTCCATCTTTTAGACTGCAAGGACCCGACTGGAAACGCTTCACTACCAGGCCAGCGGCTGTAAGCTCGCTCTCGGCTGTGGAACTCTGTGTTCAAATCCTGCTGATGGGGCTGGCTCCACAGTCCGGTGGTTAAGAGAGACGGATTCTGCATGGCCAACCCCATGGTTGAAATCCCAGCCTGAAAAACACAGTGGGCACCTATGTGCGCCCAAGATCCCGGCAGGACGGAGAGATGGAGAAGGGACAGTGGCATGGTGACGCCCCATGGGGAGCTGCTTCCCTCCACCCCCATCTCTCTCTGGTGAGCACATGCACGCCCTGTGGGAGCTTTTCTAAAAAAATGCTGATTCACAACTCCAATTCAAAGTCTGACTCGAGGGGTGGCAAGGACCCTCCCTGGAGCCTTAAAATTACACACCATTTACAAGTGCGATTGCAAGACAGGAGCACTCGGCCCTCCCTGCCTGGAAAGCCCTCCCGCCACAAACCTGCTCATGTGCACGTGCTACACTGTGAATAAAGAAAATAAAAATGCACACATAAGCAAAATGGAGACAGGGTACAGAAGGAAAGAAAGCCAAAGAAACAGAAAACCTAATCCAAGAAGAGGTTAAGAAAGAAAAAGTATGGCAAGTTCAGGGTAAAGTAAGGACAGTAGGAAACATAAACACGATCATTGTAATAAGTCAATTCTATATTTTCTAAACTTATTTTCCCCAATACATCGAAAGGGCAATTCTGGCAACTACAAATCACAGTTTTCTGTTTTCGTGATCAAGTATGTATGTGTGCATGGGAGAGAGTGAGGGCGAGAGAGAACCCCTTTCCACAGGGCTCAGGCATGCCGTGATCCCCATCCCCCAGCTCACCAAGGTCCTGGGCACGCATGCACGCACACACCATGTTTCCATGCCAGCTGAGCTGGAGACGGGAACTGAAGCTGGCACATGGTGGCCAGCTCCAGAGACCAGCACGCTCTAGTCTGGGCCGCAGAGGGCAGACCAAGGCACGGATTTCTGGAGTGGGTTGAACCACATGTCTTATAGATACAAGGACACCCTTCCCCAAAACCTCAGTGAGCAATCAGGAGAAAATCAGGCTAACGGTACTGTACCCGGCCTACGTCAGGACAGATAGGAAGCAGGACTAACGGCAGCAGGGGAGCTACGTGAGAGAGGACTGAGATGTAGCAGGCTGCACCCGCGTGCCTTCAGGTGGAGAAAGCAGGAAGCGACAGGCTGACGGAGGAGCACCTGACAGATTCCAATCCCAGTGGGAGAAGTTAATGCTTCTCAGTAACTGGGTAGGGACAGTAAATGGAATGAAGAAAAAAAACTGGAATACGTATTTGCACGAGATGGTTAGCAAGCTCAGCTTCACGGACTCCATCCAGCAGGAGAACACAGGTGCTTCTCGGAGAGGCATGCAATGCCTTCTACAAGGACCGTGCCACAGCCTACAAAGACAGCCTCGATGCACGCCGAGCAGCCTATGTTAGGAGCTGGGCAGCAAACTAGAACCCTTGAACAAAATTCTGCCTGTTGCCTACTTTTATGTCTTGTACTAGAAAACCATTCGTTTACAGCCGCCTATGGCTGCTCTTGTTCGGCAACAGCAAACCTTAGTTGAACAAAACCTAAAGTTTAAAAAAAACCCTGATTTTATTTTTATTTATTTTTTAAAATTTGCTATAGGGCACATGTGCTCACCAGAAAGAGACAGATGGGAGGTGTGGGGGGAGAAGGAAAGTGGGGAAGCAAGCCAGCCTCCAGGTCCAGGACTTGAATCATGACCGGCCATGTGGGAGTCCACACCTCGACCACCACGCCGCCTGCTGGTCCCACAAAACCTAAATTAACTTTCAGGCCATTTACAGAAAAAGTTTGGTGATGCCCTAGTCTGTATCACACAGACTATACAGTCAACCACAAAGCAGCTACATTCAAAATTAACACCGTAACGGAGACCTTCAAAGTGAGACATTCAGGGACCAGCAGATGGCGTAATGGCTACGGCACTGGAATCCCATGCAGTCAACCACTCTTGAGTCCTGGACCTGGTGGCTTAAACTCATGCCAGGCACATGTGTGTGCATGCCCGCAATCTCAAGAGGAGACTAGAGGAGAGGGGATTGTGGCATGGTCAACCACTCTAGGGGTGATTTCTCGCCTTCTGTCTCTGGCAAGCACGAGCATACTATAGCAAAAATCTCTCTTAAAAAAAAGAGTTAGAAATTCCGGACTAAGCATCCAACACCACTGGTCTGAATAATTTCAAAGAGAATAAAAGACAATTTGAAATAAGGAAGAAAGAAAAATGAATGAAATAAAACTTAAATAAGACAGGACGATCAGAACCAAAAACTGACTTCTTATCCAGCTTTGCTGTTGGGTGCGTGCATTTGCTGTGTTAAAAAATGAGAAAGCGCCCCCGGAGGGATGTTCACACCACAACCCCTTTTCCTCCCTTCTCCTCTTGGGACTTCAGGCACATATCATACATGCCTAGCATGTTTTTCAAGCTGCCAGGTCCAGGACTTGAACCCGAAGTTGGCTGTGTGGGATTCAGTTGCTGTTTAACCACCATGCAACTGACTAGACCCCCAAAAGATGATTTTTAAAGAGGCCTCAGAGTGGACCAGCCTGAGGCCTGGTGGTTAAGGCAGCTGGATCCCACGTGGTCATCCCCATGGTTTGAGTCCTGGACCTGGTGGGTGGAGAAACACGCCAGGCATGTGTGTCTGCGTACACAAAATCCGAAAAGGAGAGAGAGATGGAGAAGGGATGGTGATGTGGCCATGCCCCATGCGGGGTGCGTTCCCCTTCTCTCTCTCTCCTTGACTCTCTCCAGTAAGTGTAAGAGCCCTCTGGAAAATTAAAAAGAAAGGGGGAGGCTTAGACAAACCTTGGGGAAGATTAACCAAGGAGGAGTGAGACGGAGAGCACAAGAACACCAAGAATGGCAAGAAGGACACAGGACACCGCAGAGACAAAGCCGGGGAGAGCCGTCTGTAACGCACGACCTGACAGGCTCTGCCCAGCGCTTCTCTGACGGCAACTCCTGCTG